ACCTTGGTGCAATCTCCACACATTTAATGGATTCTAACCGCTGAAGTTCTGTGTCACTGCCGACATCATGCAAGTCGGGGGTGTATGCCTACGTCAGTCAGAAACACGGCCGACAGCTGGATCAACGTTCCCTCCAAACGTTGTGTTGGAATCCAGGCTCTCCGCTGATACAACGAACGACAATAGTAAGTTCTTAATATTTCCCAACGCAATGCAAGCAGAGAGATTGCGTATGTGATTGGACACCGGAAGTTATTGCTTTGTAAGCTTGATGTTAGCCCGAGATTCGAGAAATACCGCCGACATAAAGCTGGTTCAAGTTCCTTTCTAAAAGCACTTGCTGGAACAGGAATGTGAAGGTGACAACACGGAGTAGATGTAGTTTGTAGGCGCAGGATGAAGTTGGAGTTGATGAGGTGAAAGATGACGCAGGTCGTATCTAACGCTGTCCTCAGGGTGTTCGTGGTAATATGTGCTGTCGTGTATACAACAGAGTGTACGCCTGTCCTCAATGCTACAGCTGTTCAGGGAAACGCAACTATTCCGGACACTGCCATCAATAATGATACAGTGTCAGGTACTAGTAGATTACATTCGGGAAACGTTGCACATTCACTGAAGGTGAACACTACCAGCAAGCCGGGATGTTTGAAGAAGCCCACGACCGCAAAAATGAGCGTTGTAAACGATTATGACGAAGTTGGTGCGAAGAACTTCATTGTCGTGACTGTAGTGGTGTACGCCTTGGTCGGGACGCTGACGTTGCTGCTGCTGAGGGTGTGTCGTCGGGCACGTCGAGTTCACAAGAACAAAGACAGGATGGAAGAGCTAGTCAACAACTACCTCCGGGTGTCTGGGGTGCTGAAGGATGAAGGGGATCGGTACCGGATGTTGTGTGAGGCACAGAGGACGGCCTTGACCTTGACCTCGATGTCGAGATCGCAGCAACAAGACAGACCTCAGCGTAATATTCCCGTAGAACTGGACAGCGAGGAAGGAAACATTCCCTTTTGTGAAGTCGGTAGTGGCAGTGAATTGTCTCTGAATGGTATCAAGCATGCAGAGACCTCTTTCTCAGAATCTTCCGACCATGGCGGACATCAGATGCATCCACTTTTAGGGAGGACCCAGCAGCGAACATTGACGCCAATAGACGAAATCATAGGTGAAACTACATGAAATGATATATTAATGCATTTTTACAAAGGAGCAGTTTTAAGGTTCTACTGGAATATGAATGTTTCAATAGAGATGATTACACCACCTGAAACATGAAACAATGATGTACAAACTTATTATTTCTTTGAACCTGAATGTCGCTAATTTCAGCGTGGGTGATGATAAGTAAGTGAGTGAGTGAGTTGATCTGAATGAAATCCTAAGTGACAGGTCGTCGAGTTTAACAACTTGGCGAAACTTAGGAGCAAGGGCATTGTGCTGGCAAACTAAGGATCATACACAGACAATCGAGCCCACGATCAGCGGATCCTGGCGCGACAAGGAACACAACCTTGCATGGCGATTTTCAGCGCCTAACACTTGGCTACTGATAAAAAATAAAATCGACAGTTGGACGTTCGACATCTCAGCGCGGAGATGATGGTACTGGTACCCACATACCTCGAGCAGTCAACCCGTCTTTGCTTCTAAACAGGACCAGATAGGGAGACCAACAATCTTGTTCCATATCCCACACCGCTTGTGTCCGGTAAACTCCGGACTCGGAACAATTGTCCTTTTGTACGAAGGATCCGATACGCCAGCTGTTGTGCAAAAAACAATGTTATGACGTCAGAGAAAGGGTAATACTGCAGCGCTGTGCGGCGTCAGGCTACAAAAACACACTTATTATTTGCAAAATTCTGTGAATGGCGGGTGACACCGATAGGGCAGGACATTACCTTTTTCGAGAACACCTTAGTCATCACTGATTTTCAGTGATCTATTCACATATTTCTCACCTCTATTTTGCCTTTTATACTTAACGAAATCTGTTTCGTCGGATAATCGAGACTGGCTATTCTCTGGCGTTGAGAGAGGACGAGATGGTACACCTAGTTGTATTCTCGAATAAATGCCCCAGAGCAGATTTTAATTCCTTTTCTTTGGCCAGTATTTTGTTTACTTATTCTGATAAAGATGTATTTCGTTTACAGCTATTGTTATTATTAGAGCTCAACTTCATCCCATGACACGTGATCGTGACGTCAATGTTTTGCGTAGCTTAGCATGCCGATTCGCTGGTTTACCCTTCTCGCCTTCGTGCCTGTCGATATGGATGGTTTCTCATGCCTTCACCCATCTCGTTCTACTTGATCATGCATGACAACATTTGGTTAGATTACAAATGGGACATTCAGCATCGTCACACATGTAAGATGATCTCAAACATTATTCTAAAATATTAAACTTTATTAGCATGAGAATCAACCCAGAATGATATTGGTTAGGGAATCAAATTTCTGAACCCGTTTCTATTAGAAAAGGAATATTTCAGGGCGATTCTTTTAGTCATTTGCTTTACTGTTTGTCACTAAATCTTTTAACTGTTTGCTTAGCAAAGAGGAAGGTTATCATCCTGGACCTACTGAGAACGGATCCCCAATACCCCTAAGACTCCACACTGAAAAAAAAAGATTATCATTGTCGACTCCTTTTCTAATGATATCGGCATGTCCTTTGGATTCGACAAATGCAACATTCTTTACTGAAACGTGGCAGGGTTGACGAGGGAGGATCAGTAAGAATTCTTGGGGCAGGGGTTATTGACCATCTCTGGGAGTCAGGTCTATACATACTTAGGGACGCATCTTAGGGACAAACTCCAGAATGCCCTTATCAAAAACAATGTTCGGGAAGATTACAAATGTAGACTGAACGCTCGCTATAAAGTTAAAGCCACAAATACTTATGCTGTACCCGCCCTTTCCTATTTGGTGTTGTTGATTGGACGAAGCAAGATATTCAGGGTATTGACAAACTCACACGAAAAATGTGGCAGACAAGAGATCCCACCACCCTCGCTCTTCCATCAATCGCTTATATTTACTAATCATAATGGGAGGGCGTGGTTTGCTTAACGTAAATGCTCTTTATGATATAATTGTATTGTGCACTTTCGCATACATGTATTTGTCTGACGATCCTCTTTTGAAGCATGTCAAGGCTTATGATGGAAACAAGGCATTCCACAGTTTTCTTAAACGAGCCAAGGATGTGGGACATAATCTCAATGTTGATTTTGTTGAAGGTTTTGTACTGCTGGACGGTTCAGAAATGAGTGTCAACCAAGCGTAGTGCCATATCAAATCGACCCGGACTCTGAGCGACCACTGCATCGAGTGTGTTGAGAGGATCAGTAACCCTGTAGAGTCCTTCGCTTGGATGATGTCGGCTGGCCTGAAAAGTGAAACAGAAGGCTTTCTGTTTGATGCTCAGGACCAGTCACTTCCCACTCGAAACCGCCAATGTGTGATTTTGCATCAAAATGAAAATATATTAAATATAGATTACGCAATGAATTTAATGAAACTGTCGAACATATTGTCAGTGGATGACCAGCTTTGGCACAAACACAGTATCTTAAGCGACATGATGGAGTGGCTCGATCATTCTATTACCGTCTTCACCATGCTTGTGGTTTGGACACATAGTGGGCGTCATGGAAAATTATAGATACAAAATAAGTTGGAATAGTCCCGTATACAGCCTCAGACCTATTCCAGGCCAACAAACCTGATCTTGTCCTTTATCATTAATTTTTCTGTCCCTTTTGACACTAATGTGATTCAATCTGTTGATTGACATTAGGAGAGTATCCGGGTTTGCTGCCAGGAATATTGCCCTACCGACAGGTTGGGTAATACAGAAGGCTGCAGTGTTGGGGAGTCTTCACATTCTCCGAAAAGGTCTGGTGAGTTTGACTTGGCAGTGCTTGCTGGGCGAAGCCTCATTCGCTGTCTGTGTGTAGAGGGGGCAAAGGCCCTGGGCTGATGATGAGCCTAACCAGCCTGACTGTGCCAGGATCACCCAAACCCTCTTTGCTGCATTTTTGTATTTTAATATGTAAATAATGGTAATAATACCCTGTCTAGCGCTCGACATTAAAGGAGACAAGGACTGGTCGGCTCAGGGTTCGAAAAATGATTCTAAGTGAAGTATCCATGTTAAGCTGCGGCATGGTATCTCAGTGGGCTAGCACTATAGAACCGACACACGCCCAGACAAGTGCAATCAGAGAGAAACACACACACACACACACACACACACACACACACACACACACACACACACACACACACACACACACACACACACACACACACACTCACACACGCACACACGCATGTCGTTATATAACTGACATAATCTTGAACGCGACGTTGAACCCAATTTCACGTCACCTCAAAGCAGTAAGGATGATTCAGTAGTGTAGTAGACATGTCCGTTTACTGTGCAGCCTCTCTATACTGCGGTGCGGTTTAATGAGGAGTGGCTGTCGCCCCTCTCTATTCAGAGGGGACTTTGAGTTGAGACAGTCATAAAGACGAACGCCAGTCATCACAACTGAGCCCAACACACTATGGCGCTGCGCAATCAGCTGTTCAGTTAAAGTAGGTCACGAGGACTGTCGCCCAGTTAGACTTGCACTAGTCTATAAGGAAATGATTATTAGTTAAATCATAATTCCTAGAATAGTAAGAACAATTGGCCCTATATATAGACTGGCGCCCCTAGTGTTGTCGGCGTATCTTGACTTGCCAATTATAGGGATACAATTACTATCTATCATTCAGTAGAGACTTGGAGCAAGGCTATCGCACATTTTGCACGTCCGCCTTGCCTCGACCCCACGGATGCCCTGGGTCCTACCCCACCCAACACGACACCCGCTACCCCCGGGGTCCTCGGTGAAACAAGGTAAGCAGGTCGACGACACACCTAAATAGTTTAAGTTGTGAAGTTTATGCAGCCTGCGCAATACTCTATATATAGGTCTGTAAATGTGGTCATGTGTAACACAAATATGCCCGTCTTTCATCATATTCCGTGTAAGACAATATGAATTTAATGACGGTTTTAGCACATATCTTTATGGCTTTTGTCACTCAAATGTAGCTTCTATTCGAGTACATGTGAATATTGCCTAACCTAAGGTTGTGGGGACATGTGCGACACCTGCGCTTTGTGATGTTCTCGCGACACACTTGACAAGCCGAGATACAGAGACGTATGGCATGATCACCTGCGTATCCGCCGCCATCACTGTCAGCGTTATTGCTCATCATCATCATCATCATCATCATCATCATCATCATCATCATCAGGTATTATCTCACCACCGGGATCGTCCTCAAACATCTATTGACTAATGATTTGATTCTCATTATCGTCATCTTCTTCATCAACGCCATGTATCTACAATGCGTAGAGGTTACAATGTAGATGAAATGGCTACAACGTGTAGATGAAGTGGTCACAATGTGTAGATGAAGTGTTTACAATGTAGATGAAGTGGTACAATGTGTAGAGGAAGTGGTTACAATGTGGATGAAGTGGTTACAATGTGTAAATGAAGAGGTTACAATGTAGATGAAGTGTTTACAATATAGATGAAGTGTTACAATGTGTAGATGAAGTGTTTACAATGTAGATGAAGTTGTTACAATGTGTAGATGAGGTGGTTACTGTGGGGATGAAGTGGTTACTGTGTTGATAAAATGGTTACAATGTGTAAATGAAGAGGTTACAATGTACATGAAGTGGTTACAATGTGTAGATGAAGAGTTTACAATGAAGATGAAGTGGTTACAATGTATATGAAGTATTTACAATGTGTAGATGAAGAGTTTACACTGTAGATGAAGTGGTTACAATGTACATGAAGAGTTTACAATGTAGATGAAGTGGTTACAATGTGTAGATGAAGTGGTTACAATGTAGATGAAGTGGTTACAATGTAGATGAAATGGTTACAATGTACATGAAGTGGTTACAATGTACATGAAGTGGTTACAATGTACATGAAGTGGTTACAATGTGTAGATGAAGTGGTAACAATGTACATGAAGTGGTTACAATGTACATGAAGTGGTTACAATGTAGATGAAGAGTTTACAATGTACATGAAGTGGTTACAATGTACATGAAGTGGTTACAATGTGTAGATGAAGTGGTTACACCTTTTTGATGAAGTGGTTACACTTTGTTGATGAAGTGGTATCAATGTGGATGAGGTTTCAATGGGTACAATGTGTCGATGAAATAGTTACAATGTGTGATTTCGCTGTGTCATCACATCCCGGTGGTATTGATCGTTGTTCATTCTATCAACCCCTGGGTTGTCTCGTCCAGACTCATTTAGTGATAGCCCGTTGGAATATAGATGAAATAATACTCAAAGGATATCTACGCATGGATGTTACTTATGCCCCGTGAAAAGACAGCAACAAGAGTACTGTACATTCAGGGCATAACCACTGGAGCGAAAACATGTCCTTATCGGTGTCATATAACGGGCTGTTATCAGGATACATAACTCTCTATACCTCCGTGGGGGTTATAGGTCAGCGAACTACATATCTTCACCTTTAATACCCCCAGCTCCCCAGCCCTGGACACAGTTAGGGTGAAGCTGTGGTAGACATGTGACGCCAACATGAACACTGAGTTCGTCGGAATCCCCGAGACAGGCAGGCGAGAGCAGGGCGACAGCAGACGACAACTGGAGGCGAAGTACACCGGCACATCGTCTGCTCTGCTCAGAGGGTGAGAGAAAAGGGTCGTTATGTCTCGTGATAGAAACAGCTGACAAAAACGAGTGACCTACTTGAAGGGGTACTGATAAAAGTGGCACAAGTCACATTTTGAGCCTTAGTTATTTTCGTTGTCCAATGATAAAACTACTTATCTTACCTACATGTAAGATTGTTGAGATCAGATTGATTCACGTAATCTTGGGGGGCACGGGTGGCCCAGTCGTCTAAGGCGCCACGATTCGCTGTGCAGAGTTGCGTCCCTTGGGCAAGACAGAAACCTATGATTGTGGGTTCGAATCCCGATTCGCCCCGATTATGTTTCTAGGTTTGTCAGCACCATACCCGTGCTCGAGGGTTTCACCGAAGTGGTAAACGTCCGAGACCTGCATTACTTCGGGCTTTCCTCCCACTTTAAGCTGACACGCCGTGATATAACTGGAATACTTTTAAAAGCGGCGTTAAACCCAACTCACTCACGTAATCTTGACAAAAAACAACCGAGGCTCGTGCAACCTATCCCGGGAAATAAATTCCTGAGCTGGACAATAAATCCCTTATTCACAGTTGCGCGTGGATTTCTTAGCGGGACCCCCTACGAAGCAAAATACTGCACGTTGTTTTCGAGTAAATGAAATTAAAGCGACAATACTCTTTCCATATTCCCCTATTCGTCACGTGACTCTTCAGTCTTAGGCTCAATTCAACAGCTGTTTTCTATCAATATTCAGTTTGTTTTAAATGTTTTACAATGACAGATTGAAACATGTAGGCAAGATAAATTCGTTGCAGCAGTATGAGGCGGCGTCCATTGCATGGGAATTACACACACTTGATCTTACGGGAGTTTCGATTTATACGTAAATCGGAGGGTAAAAGAGAGTATACACTTGAAAATTAGATTTGACAAAAAGATTTCAAACGCCGAAGCGTTAATAGGCTGAAAACAGTCACCGAAACACTGTTTAAAACACTATCCTCACCCCTCCTTTCCCCCAAACGCTGTATCCTCCCTGCATGTGCATTCTGTTGTTTCTTCAGGGACGGTTGGGTAGCCTAGTGGTTAAAGCGTTGGCTCGTCACGCCGAAGACTCGGGTTCGATTTCCCACATTGGTACACTGTGTGAAGCCAATTTTCCGGTGTCCCCCGCTGTTTTATTGCTGGAATATTGCTAAAAGCGGCGTAATACCATACTCACTCACTCACGTTTTCAGCACCTATGTCATTAATTCCCGCTGCATGTTTTATAGGCCTTTCGTCCAACACAACTTTTTGGTGAGGTGTGGAGACTGCCTGCGCACATTCAACCCAAACAGTGATCAGTGGGAGAGATTCTGGCGGATATTCCCAACTGGCGGATATTACACACGTGCAGGGGATGCGTGCGCATTCATCGCTTGGCTGCTGTTCATCATCATACCATTTATTGCAGTAGGGGTGAGTACAAGAACCTATCCTTGCATATATATCCTAACATAAAATACTCGTCAATACACCACAGGGTTGTGTACACTACCGCGTCCCTCCACCACCCATCAATGTCAGGACCGTTAGTAATCCACATGGCCCTTTATGATGATTGTAAAATTGGAATGAAACATTATAATTATTTACTATAAAAAGGAGTAGAAGGCTCTCATGTAGTGTTAGTGATTGACTATTGACTGTGCATAAAAGTGTACAAAGATGTCTCATTTCTCCGCTCCCCCAACACACACGCACACACACCTGTAGACACTGATTGACATTGCTTATATTTGCTCCCATACACCTCCCATCCCCATGAAATTCCTTCCTAAACTAACCTGATTTTGGATGATTCCACTTGTCAACTTGTCTGTGTAAGAAATGTGTGCAGACTGAGAACATGCAGTGAGACAAAGGGTCAACTTTGAGGGTTAGCTTGGCCAATCAGTTGAGCACGTCATGGCTTTGGTTTGTTAAGGCGTACAACATGAAGGACACAATAACTACATTTAATCTATCTTAACTAATGATTAAACATAAAAGTTGAACACTTAAAAGCAGATACTGAAGGTGAATTAAATAATTATGTACAATGTTGTATCTGTCACACTAACATGAATACAAGAACCCGTGGAACCGTACCGCAGCCGGATACCGAAGCAATGTGTTGTGTATATGGTTTACAATGCTATGACTAATAATGCATGAGAAGTATTCGCTTATGTTCTGAACGCTCATTGGTCCAACCACTCGCTGGTTTACCTCGCTCTTGATTCAGGCTGCGGCTTGATTGGTTGGTTATAAATAGCGACTACACTGCAAATCTACAGGTATATACGGGTAGTGAATACAAACCTTATGAGGCATTGACGATGATCAAAATAATGACTTTTTATGTCTCTTTTACTATCAGACACAATTCTTTCTATATCTAAAACCGAGAATGTGGCAGCAGATTTAGTAAGTCTATTTCTAATGATTGTAGGTTTAGCAATTTGATTGAGGGGCATGTACGACATTGAGGTGTGGTAGTGACCTTGACATCTGTTAACTAAGAGTGACCCCCCCCCCCCCCCCCCCCTTAGTTGTGGTTGGTTATTGTCCGTCCCAGCACTTCACACCTCGTTACCCTCAGGGTTTTGATAGCTCAAACTGCTAGGAGCTTGTTTACGGTTGTCGATTCACAACTTGATCCGATTTTGTACGAGTTCCTCAATCAAATTGCTGGCATTTACAATCATTAAAAATAATAAATTTACTAAATGTACCGCCACATAACAAGTAAAAGCTAGTGGTTTAAGAATTAACCATTGAATATATTCTCGTAACGGGTTTTAGTTCGCTCGTAGCCGAAGTGTAAATGTGAATTATTGACATTTTCCCCACTTCTATTCCATTGTTAAATCTGTTGTTTTCCTCGACAGGTTGGTTGTTTCTGCACAAACAGGATTAACATAGTGAACGCTGTTGTCGTCAGCGTAGTTATGACATCACAGCTGGTGATGTCGTACGTGATATTCAAGAACGACAAGAAGTTTAAACGGCTGTGGTGCGTGGTTAAAGTAAGTTTGTTTCATTATCTATTGATTACTTGTTAATTTAGTTAATGTCACGTGGTCTCATGCTGCATCGTGTTCTTGCAGGTGAACGTGGAGCAATACCTTGGTTGGCAAAACCAGGTCAAGGACGTGACCTTGGCAAATGTTAACAACCTTGACATTTTGTCTGCTGGGACACGCAAAAACCTCATCAAGAAATTAGCCAAAGAGCCAGGTTCGCAATGCTCCTTTCTTACCTCGTATGTGTTGATTTATTTAATTTTGAGTACAATGAAATCAGGAAAGGTCAGCGTCTGAGTGTCTGGAATATATTCTATAAAATATATGTTGCAATCTCTAGAAACTTATGCTTGAATGCTTGTCATCGTACTCAGGCGGCTTGGATCGGTGCCCCTAATATCAATCACTTAATGTCTGGTCCAGATTTTATTATCATATTGTCATTATCATATAACTAGAATAGTGCTCAGCGATAGAAACTAAAAGTTTTAGCCCACTAGTCCTTATAGTGATTACATACAGCAAAACCTCTAAAAGGGGCAAAATCTACTAGTCCTTAGGATACCTTAACTATTGGGCAGTTTGGCAAGGGCTATAGACTAGTGCCAATTTCTTACGCTGGTGCTAAGTGCGGCGTTAGACATCAGGAAATATAGTGTTAAGCTTATATTGTATCTGCTGTTCAGGCGTTATGGATGGATAATAAGAAGCTTAATTACTCTTACTCTGCAGGTATTGTCTTGATGGCTATTTTTTATCCTCAGATGGGGTCACAGTGATGATATGCACCAACTCCTTCTGGAAAGGCTACGTGTTGTATCCAGTTGTCTCCCTTATAACGTTATCCGCCCTTGACCTTGCTGCTCTTATAGTTCAGCTGGAAATGATGCGGCGGCCAGACAGCAGGTGAACCAACAAAGCGGTGATATTTTTCGTCCTAGCGGTCACCTGCAAATCAAGAGGTGACATTCCTGACCATGAAGGGACCTCCCCGATCACGTGATGATCTCCGCGGTTACAAGGCTGATTGGTCTTCTAACGGGAGATTTGAGATTGCCAATATAGTTACACCGGCTTGACCGCTATGAGATTACACGAGTTCTTGAGGATATTAAACTGAACATTTAAACATCTGGTCTGATGATCGTTCGATCATAGCTCAGAACTTGCCACGGACTTGGATGTGTACTCATGGACATATGGTTGATGTTTACAATTATTTTCTTGTTTACCGTGGATATGAAAGCATTGACCGACAGTATTGTTGCCTTAAGAACAATTGTGTCCTACGAGTGTGGATACAACATGGCTTAGCATATGGTGTATCGTGGCAATTGTGGAGTTGTATCACATTTACTATCAACGGATTTCCATATGGGGATTCCACCTCAGAAGATGTCCCTTGTACCCAGTGCCTGTCTCTCCGTAGGGATGCTGAGACAGACGATGTCCCTTGTACCCAGTGCCTGTCTCTCCGTAGGGATGCTGAGACAGACGATGTCCCTTGTACCCAGTGCCTGTCTCTCCGTAGGGATGCTGAGACAGAAGATGTCCCTTGTACCCAGTGCCTGTCTCTCCGTAGGGATGCTGAGACAGACGATGTCCCTTGTACCCAGTGCCTGTCTCTCCGTAGGGATGCTGAGACAGAAGATGTCCCTTGTACCCAGTGCCTGTCTCTCCGTAGGGATGCTGAGACAGACGATGTCCCTTGTACCCAGTGCCTGTCTCTCCGTAGGGATGCTGAGACAGAAGATGTCCCTTGTACCCAGTGCCTGTCTCTCCGTAGGGATGCTGAGACAGACGATGTCCCTTGTACCCAGTGCCTGTCTCTCCGTAGGGATGCTGAGACAGAAGATGGCCTTAGGACCCAGTGCCTGTCTCTACGTAGGGATGCTGAGACAGAAGATGTCCCTTGTACCCAGTGCCTGTCTCTCCGTAGGGATGCTGAGACAGACGATGCCCCTTGTACCCAGTGCCTGTCTCTCCGTAGGGATGCTGAGACAGAGGATGTCCCTTGTACCCAGTGCCTGTCTCTCCGTAGGGATGCTGAGACAGAAGATGTCCCTTGTACCCAGTGCCTGTCTCTCCGTAGGGATGCTGAGACAGACGATGTCCCTTGTACCCAGTGCCTGTCTCTCCGTAGGGATGCTGAGACAGAAGATGGCCTTAGGACCCAGTGCCTGTCTCTACGTAGGGATGCTGAGACAGAAGATGTCCCTTGTACCCAGTGCCTGTCTCTCCGTAGGGATGCTGAGACAGACGATGCCCCTTGTACCCAGTGCCTGTCTCTCCGTAGGGATGCTGAGACAGAGGATGTCCCTTGTACCCAGTGCCTGTCTCTCCGTAGGGATGCTGAGACAGAAGATGTCCCTTGTACCCAGTGCCTGTCTCTCCGTAGGGATGCTGAGACAGAGGATGTCCCTTGTACCCAGTGCCTGTCTCTCCGTAGGGATGCTGAGACAGACGATGTCCCTTGTACCCAGTGCCTGTCTCTCCGTAGGGATGCTGAGACATGAGATGGTCTAAGTACCCAGTGCCTGTCTCCCGTAGGGAAGCCAGGGATGAGTATGTCACCAACACCCTATCACATGAGGATTTGGAGGTCACTCTGACCTGGCCCTCATACCCCGATGTCCTGGGTCGTACCTCCAAACACATGTTTGCATGGCCTGGACTAGATGATTCTCAGATCGCAGAATTTATTTGGGGCATTACTGACTTCGTCGTAAAATAACGTTCACTTATTCACGTGAAACTTTCACTTTAAAAAAACTGCCGGGCAAAAGAAAGTATACACTTGAAAACTGGATTTGCCCCAAAACTTACAAAAGTAATCAAAGGCTGAAAACAATCGCCGAAACACTGCAAACTTAAGGCCAAAGAGACAAATCAAATACATCATTATCGAATAAACTTTCCTTGTTTGATTCATTTGTAATCACCATCAAACATGGGTGTATATTATCGTTTTGCACGGCAGTTTAGTTCTGAATGACGACCACAAGGTTGGAGCTGAATAAAATCAAATCACTCTGAGTATCTGATCACCGAAATCAATGTATGACAGATATTACTATTTATTCTAATGGTTGTGTTTACATAGCCATATATACAGACGATTTATACTAATAGTTGTGTATGTATTTAACATGGCCATATATTACACAACTATTAGAATGAATAGTCTATATATCTATATGCCTTCAACTCATAGAAACTGGTTTGTGGGTTATATGTAGTTATGTAGTTCATTACACAATGACGTATGAATTTTATGTACGTTTTAAATGATGTTACCATGGTTTTCTTTTTTATGTGTTTTATGATATATTTTTTATCAATATTTAATATGCTTCACGCATCTCACAGATGCATTGTGTCACGTGTGATTTTAACATTTGAAGAAATACCGAGGGAATAAAAGCATGAGCAAAACCCGTAAATGAGCTTATGTCATGGCAAGTATTTCTACTTTGAAATCACAAAGCCTAAAACATTTCTCGAAATCCCAATGATACATTATTCCACATATAATCTACAATATACCCAATTCCTAGAGACTACTCTTTGAATTACTTACCATTACATAAACCGTTTGATTGGCATTTTTATAAGTTGTAAGTACCGTATTCGACGTAATAAGCGCACAGGGCGCTCTCAAAGTTAGAAATATGGGGCTCTTATTGGAATATTTTTGGTGAAAAAAGTTCGTAAATTTCTTGGTTTATGCTGACAGCCTGAAATATTTATATACGACATATATATTTTTCCAGGATTTAATTCCCCCAAATTAAGGGTGCATATAACACACGAGTGCGTATTATACACGAATAAATAAGTCTTGTGTACATTGATCAATCGGAAGGGGTGCTAATTGAGATTGTTCACTAGCCAATATTTTAGCAAATATCGCCGTGGGCGCTCATTATGTCGAATACGGTAACAGTAAAGACCAGGTATTTTATGGCTCACAACATCTTCATAAGTATCTATACCGATAAGTCGCATAATTTTAGAACAAATGCTTTGAAATAAGTATTTATTGTTACCCTTTCATAAGCCATAAAACGAATAGCGAATAAGTGAATAAAAAAGTCAAATCTCTTCATGAAAAAAACCCAAGATACTTTGTTACCACTTTAAAATTTGTTTCTGTTGGAGGGTATGTACATTTGATATTAAAACAACATAATTTTGATCCACTTTGGAATAAAATGTATGTGTGGCTAGATACAGTAAACTACGGTTATAACGAACTCAAAGGGACTACATATATACATGTATAAACAGCAAATGGTCAAGAGCTAAAAATATGTTCGTTATATCCGTCAGTTCGTTATAAACGTGTTCTTTTTAAACGTAGTTTACTGTATAAGAATTGAGTCTTAATATATTTGAAATGGCAAATCAATCGCCAATATTACATTAATTATTTTATATGACATAGCTCAGCGATAAATCGCAAAGAACAATTAAGAACGAAGTGTGGTTCATTTCACGATAAAACATTGTTCTATCATGTCGTCATTTCTGGAGATTCGAACATGCGCTCGCAACTTGACAGCGTCGTATATTGGACGACGTTATTTTTGAGAGGGAAGTGTCTGGTATGTTGTTCCCCATAGATGTAGCTGAGCAACGCAGATGAACGCTACTGCCGAACGATCGCATCCAAAAGCGAGAGAGATGTGACAATCGGTATTAGGAGGTAAGGTACAGATAATCGACGTGATGATTCTGAGAATGTGCGGAAAATATCCACCTGTGTAAAAAATGGACTTGTCCGACATTGCCGAGGTCGGATTCTATTGAGGGAATGATCAGTATTAAAAGACGGGTTAATATTTTTAAAGCTTGTACATTTATCATAATCTCTAAAGAGGCTGTAAATAATGTTGATATCGTATATGAGAAATAAACCCAAAGATAGGATGCTTGACGATGATAATTCTGCGTCTTTGTAAACCGACGGCCAGAAGAATGTTTTGTTTGTCTGTATAACGCCGCACTCAGCAATATTCCAGCTATATGATGGCGGTCTGTAAATAATCGAGTCTGGACCAGACAATCCAGTGATTGACATCATGAGCATCGATCCACGCAATTGGAATACGATGACATGCATCATCAACCAAGTCAGCGAGCCTGACCACCCGATCCCGGTCGCCGCTTACAACAAGCATGGTCGCTATTTACGGCAAGCATTGGTTGCTGAAGACCTATTCTACCCCGGATCTTCACGGGTCCCACAAGAATGAACACACCCATGTTTGATGGTCGCTAAAATGAAACAATGTGATTGATTATTCGATGGCGATAATCACAGGTATCACAGTAGTCTTTTTTAGCTTAGGTTTGCAGTGTTTGGGCGACTGTTTTCAATCCAGTAACGTTTTGACAGACAGACAGACAAACGTTTTGGTACTTTCGTATTTTTTGGCAAATCCAATTTTCAAGTATATATTCTACTTTTTGCCCGGCAATTTAGAAAATCACCATCTACAGGAAGTTTGGTTCAAGCCATTCAAAGACATTCTGTTTGTCTGCAAACTCAAATTGCATGATCATCTAGTACACCAATCTCACTCTTGATTGACCTAAGACATTAGTTAATTACACCGTCTAAAGAACTAGACTGTTTGAAACATCATTGTCCCTTTCAAAATGTGTCGGCTGGATTATCAATACGTTGGGCATTATTCCAACCATACGGAAACAACAATGCAGATTGTGGCCATGTTTGGAATCAAACCCGGAAATTCGCCGTTGAAAGCCAATGCCTTAGGCCAGGTTCACACAGTGCCGATTATGGCTCCCGTTTGAGATCAGACGGATTACTATCCTCAATTATCTGGAATGTACTATCATTGTCTTAAAGCAGTCGTATACGTTCGTAACAGATAAAAGTCCAAAAAGGTCGGCCAAGCACTCCCGATGGTATGGTGCGTCCAGTAACATTCGGGAAACTCAGCCGATTTTGTCTAGTCGGATTACAATCGTGACTATATCGTGACAGATTCTGCTGTAACGGATCAAAATCGTCCTGCATTGTCTGAACGGTGTCCTGTTGATCGGGACGCTGTCGTGATGAACGGGCATGAATTGTTCATTGCCGTTTCTCGTCGACTGTGTCCAGATTGCATCCTGATCTTGCCGAATACGAACGGTCTTTGTCGGTTCACTGTCCGGTCACTGTCTGATCTCTGTCGGATCACATTCGGGAGAATCGGGACGCTGTCGGGGCAGATTCGGTCGTTTTTTACCGCGCGGAAGATACAAATCAGATCAGATTCGGATTGAGAACGGGAGAATCGGGACGAATTCGATTGGAAACGGCTGAATCGGGACGCTATCAGAACAATATCTGATTGTTTGTGAATTTCCAGCCACGAATCACAGGATCTTGATCAGACTTTTGACAAATTTTAATCGGGAATGGTCCTATCAAGGACGGCAGTAGAAATCCTGAATGTGTGACAGACTAGGGCCTACCCATCGCTCCAGCCCTTCCTTTACTGGGTTGTTTGAAAAAAACCCATGTCTAATCAGGTTTGACACGTTGTATATTTCACGCAGGTGTTCTCCAGCATTGTCACGTGATGCCATGGTTACGAGTTGAACTAATCAGGGCTCACTTCCGTTGCACGAGTTTTTGATGAGCGTTAATTCTGGACTGCGTGGTGGAAGCAGACGATGTTGGTTTGAAACTTGCACCGTAAAATTAATTTTAAAAAGTTTGTGAATTGAATCGGAGATGAACATGTTAGGCACTTCGTCATTGGTGGGTCTATTGGATACGCCCTACAATGAACGCTGATTTAGAAATTTTGGTAGTGAACAGTGTTATGAAGGCTGTCCCCGCGAACCATCTTCAATATGTTTCTTGCCCTGCTATGGAGTTTGAGGGAACCTTGGAAAGAACGATAAGGTCAGTGCTGAGATAAATAATTTCTGTTGTTCTTTTACAAATAATTCGTGTGATAAGTATGAACACCAACGAGTAATTGCCCAATTATCTGATAACAGCTTTTGAATAATTTTTATGTATTTGGCTTGGCATTGTAAGCATTAATTTCCGTAAATGTTAATAATCCTCGTATCAATGAATGGAGTTAATAGGTTGCACGGCAAGCGGATGTAAAATCACTAGCCTACCGTGCCATACCTGGGATATACACTGTATGACGAAAGAACGGATGGAAGCGATATACTCATAACGTTTAATCTCTATTCTTTCAACCCCGACCCATGAAGATCACGGGGTAGAATAAATCTTCAGCAACCCATTCTTGCCGTAAAAGGCGACTATGCTTATCGTAAGAGGCGACTAACGGGATCGGGTGGTCAGGCTCGTTGACTTAGTTTATGCATGTCATTGTATCCCAATTGATGCTCATGGTGTCAGTCACTGGATTGTCTGGTACAGACTCGATTGCTTACAGACCGCCTTCATATAGCTAGAATATTACTAAGTGCGGCGTTAAACAACAAACAAACAAACAAACAATATTATGGAAATAAATAGTAAGTGAAGCTAAATACATTTTCTGGGATATATGTGCACCGAGGCAACTTTACTGTTGGAAAGCGTAATGATAACCTTCCTCACATATATCTCCCCCTTTTGTGTTCATCTCTGGTGTGTTTGAACTGGACAGCATGGATTCCAAATACATGTACCTGACGGATGGCAAATTATTGTAACTAAGTACATGTCAACATTATAGCTATATCAGTGTAACCGATTTTTAATATGGTCCTGCCAAAGCTAAAACATTCAAATATATTACAACTTTTGTCAAACCGACTGCATTCCCGATTTCCCGATTCTGTTGAAATATACTGATGGAAATAAATAAGGGGACACTTAATCTTTCACACAGTAAAATGATCATTGGTTCCCAGCCATATCAACCAAATGCGCGTTGGGAACAATGCACACAAACACATCTCAACATTTGATTCTGACACGTGTTGAATTTGTATGAGTGCTTTTTAAATGTGCTGATAGTAAAGTCTATATCCCTATATTTTTCATTGTTCCCTCGTCGTTTCCATCAGTATAATTAGCCTAAGTATATACAGATTATGACATGAATGGAAATGTTCTGTTTGGAAATATACTTACGGTTTGGGAAACATTATCTGCCTACAATGTTGTTAAGGAATGAAGAACAGCCTATTAATGGCAAGTTGTTAAGTCAGTTGTGGTGCGCCAATACACGTACGAGTATATGATTTGTACAAACAAGCTTCTTGTATACATGTATGTTTTACAACATAAGCACATAACACATATAGGCCTGTCAACTTCAAATCAATGGTTCCGGTGTCCCCCGTCGTGATATTGCTGGAATATTGCTAAAAGCGGCGTAAAACCATACTCACTCCCTCACTCACTCAATTCAAGGTTCGAGCGTTTTGTCCCAAAAGGCGACAACTC